GGGTCGATTTTGTATGTTTAAACAAGGTGAAGATTACAAAAGTGAGCAAATACTTCAACCATGCTTTCCACGCGAAGTGATTTCTACCCCACCTTTTTCCTTGTTTCGGGGCACACGACTTTGTACGCAAAGCGAGGTCTACCCTTCCTTCTTCATCTGCCCCAGACCTAAGGGCGCACGAAGATAAGGTAGATCTTCTTGGTCAAGGTCAACATCAAGATCACTAAGAGGGTCGATTGTGTATGTTCAAACAAGGTGAAGATTACAAAAGTGAGCAAATTTACTAGATGTTGACCAATAAAATTATTAGTATTCTAGTAAATTCGCTCACTTTTGTAATTTTCATCTCGTTCCAAGATACAGAATCGATCCCTAGGAAGTGATTTGGAGTGAGCTGTGTAGTAGTAATCCATTCAGGCGGTATATAATTTTATTTAAACAATTTTGTTATTAAACCTTATCGGTGAAAATCCATTTAAGGGCATTTATTTGACGTCATTTAGAATATTTTTGTCAAAATTCATGACAATCGGACGTTTTCGGAAGTTTATTCCACTTAACTTTCCGAATTGGAGTATGAGAAAATAGTGACATGTATTAATAAAAATTGACACACTGATGATGGCTCGGATTGAAGCCGCGTGCGCGCACACGAAAAAAAATCATTTGTATTACGTTCAATTAAAGTGAAACAATAGTAAGATGTGACTGCGCTCTTTAATTAATGCGCTTGACTCTCATTGCCATTACATTTCATCTTATTTGTAATTATTCAATTTTATTTATTTTCGTTATTGTAGTACGGTTTAATTTTGATTCTTTTATAAATATGCTACTTTTTGAAAAATTTGAAACAAGAAAGTTAACCATATGATACTTTTGCACAAAAAAGATTAATATTTTCTATCTATCTATCTGTCTGTCATTCATTCAAATTTCATTTTTTCTACATACACATCATTTTTTCTGTATACCCTGTTAGAAACTTCGTTATAAATTTAAGTAATATGTAAAGAGTAAAGGAAACTTATGGTTGTCAGGTAACTGAAAAGTAACGAATGTTTTAAATGAAAACTAAGTTACAATAGACTTAAAATATATATTAAGTTTCATGCAAATTCACATAAAATTTTATGGAAAGTAATTTAAATTTCATATACATATAGGTACACAAATATACTTTTCAATTACAAATACATTAAATTTAATGTAACGTAATTAAATTTAATGTAACGTTATGAAATTAAATTCAACTTGTGTAACATAAAGGTATATTAAATTTCATGATATTTTTAACAGTGTAAAACTTCCTTCACGCACAGTTTTGTTATTAAAATTATATTAATAAATTTATGATTATCTAATTTTGCAGTCTTGGCATATATAAACATTGTGGGATACAACATATGGCTGTTCATACCAGAAATCCTTGACATTATGTCGCCCATGAATGAGTCTCGCCCGCGGAGGCGACCCTTTAATGCTGAATTCTTTGTCGATGAAGAGCAGTACTTTTATTTCATTCGTTTCCACATATGTCTTGTACTTATAATTATACCTATAGTTTATATTGCCAGTTCCATGTTATTTCTGACTCTCACGCAACACATTTGCGGAATGTGCGAGTTGCTGGGGTAAGAAATTACTCCTTGGGCAATTTACTATTTGCGAAAGAGCAGACGATTCTAAGATTGCTATAAAATGGAATGTCTATCAGTTTTCAACTGGTTTATTAATTTTCGAATTTGTGTAATAAATACAGTTTTTTTATTTATATGGAAAATCAGTTTTGCTGAAGTATCTAAAAATTTAGCTATAGATACAGATCTGAAAATAAATTTTGTTCAACCATAAAAATAATTATGTAAGACGCTGAAGCTAATTGTTAAGAATATTAAAATTTTTTTGTAGCATCACTGCTCATCAGGCTTGCATTTTCTACACAAATATTTTGATAGTTCAATAAAATTATTTTTAGATATATACATACCTAAATTTTTAGATATTTCAGTAAAATCATTTCGTGTAGAAAAAATAACTTTATTAAAATATAACAGCGCCATTTTCGATCAAAGTTTAAAAATAATTTTCTTATCGCGTCTTTAAAATTGTTTGCTATTTTGCTTCTACATTTTCCACACGAATGATAAATAGTCGTTTCGTCTTTTCTTCCGCTCAATGCAAGACGAATATCGTTACGATACGAGCAAAGTCAATTACATTATACGATAATATGTTGACAATCATTTCGACAGGCACCGTGCGGAACGCTTATTTTGTATTGTCAAAGATGAGGCGAGATGCGATTTAATTCAGGGATCACAAATAACTTGTGGAAATATAGCTGTTTTTGTACAGCAGCATTACAACATTATACAGTTCGTACTTTTATTTAATATATGCTATATCTAATTCCAGCGTAATTTCATTTATATAAGCAATCTGCGTAATAAAACAGAATGTTGTATTTTACAAAGAAAATTAACAACGGCAATTAGGTAATGCCTTTTTTATATTACTTTATATGATTTTAACTAACAAAGGATCTATTATATTGAAAAAAAGTTTACGAAATTTGAATAAATATTTGTTTAGATAGTACCTAAGGGACCATTTGCTTACAAAAAATAAATATTTATTCGATTTAAAAAAATGATACTTAAATTAAATATAATTTTTTTGAGTTGAACAAATTTATTTACTGTAAGTATTATAAATGGCCCC